CAGGAAATATTTGATAGACAAATAATAACCAATTACGATGCTCTTTCGGTTTCTCATTGACAGGTATAGGTACATGCATCCAATTCTTTTGGGCAGACGGTGCGTCAAAAAGAGTTCTCAATTCGATTGTTTCTCCAAATTTAATTAAATCACTATCCATATTATTATCGATATGCTGTTGTATTAACATCACTCTAGTCAAAAATAAATGTGGTCTGGACTGTCGTTCAGATGATGTAAGTAAATAAAGTTTATCTCCATCAGCGACCCATCTTGGATCTTCGTGTCCGCTATGATATGCATTAGGATCATACTGAAATGAATCAGGAAGTTGTTGATTTAGACGAACAGTAACTTGTTTGTTCGATTTTATTATTAATTCATTAGGATTCAATGAACCAATCAGAACATTACTTATGGCTGGTTTAAAAAACACTCTGGCTAAAGTTGTTAATGTACCAATCATACCACCACAGTTTTGTCGCGTTGATTCACGTACAGCAATCAAATATCGATGTTGATTTAATGGGAAAATAGACGGATTCCAATACATACATCTAAGAAGGGCATCATCACTACGGCAATAACTTTGAATATTACTTATGTTTTTCATGGAGAGTACACCGTTCTTTCTATAATGGTCGGAATGTTCAAAATGAATTCGATATACATCTGATATTAGATTTAGTAGTGGCGTGTCGAGGTGATAATTCATTGCACCATAAAGATAATGTGTAGAAAATGTGCCAATAACTCCTGACAAAATGACGACAAAGATAAAAATTTGCTTTCTATAAGTTACTATGTTTCTTGGTAATCGGTGAGATGTTGTAAAAGTAAGTTGTGTTAACACATCCATGTTGTTCAATTGAATTTGAAGTTTATCAAAATGGAGCAAACTTAAATTGATAGAAGAACTACATTGAAGAAAAAACAGAATGTTTCTTTTGCGAAATCTCGACAAATTTCCATATATATCAGAGTGCGAACCTACTTTCATAAGTTTGTATAAGAGACAAAGGTTATGCCTAACGATTTTTTTTATCAAGATTTTTCTCAACTAAAAAACTAAAAAGAAAAATATCGTAACTATTCTTACATCTATTATATTATGTATTGTGAGACTAAAATGTATTTTGGAACTTTGAAATTTACACGTTCTTACATGGAAATATTTTAAATTCTTTGAAAACCAAATTATCTCCTATCTTTCACAAAGTTCTTTTTAAATTTCAGAAAATTTTATGGATTTTTCAGTCTGTTGAGAAAAATTTCTCAGAATTCCACAATTTGAATTGCAGTTCCTGTCGTTATGAAGTCAAATATTGATGACTTCGTAGAATATCAGAAAACATTGTAATAAGTTGATGGAATCATTCTAGCTTTTGTTTTCAATAATATAAGTTTTGCTTTTTCAATCTGAAATTATCAATATTTCAGCAGAGTACTGCTGAATCTCGTACTGTTTGTACGAAATTGATCGCTACTTCAATAACTATTTTAAGGTTTTGTATGTTTTACACGGAATAGTTGATAGTTTCGTAGACTTTTCAAAAGTTGTATAGTTCTCTTTATGCTCTAATAGCTTTCGTTTCCTTCGTACTAAGCAATGTACATTATCTTTAGTCCTTAAATTTCTGAAGAATATATGTTAGAAATTATTACAACCAAAAACAAAACAAGTGCAAAAAGTGGATGGGCGTGGTTTGCAAAGAACAAATCAGAATGAATGAATAAAAGTTTGGTGAATTAAGAATAGCTGAGAAGCTGATGGAATTTATTTCAAAAATCAGCAGAATAATTAAGATTATCAATAAATGTCAATCATCTTATGATATAGCACTTGGATATTCGAGAATCAATATAAGAGGATATATTTAATATCAAATTTATGAACTTACAAGTCATTGTGTGCTGTAAGTTAAAGACATTAGGCATATTTGGATCAAATGAATGGTCTCACTACTAAAGTCATTCATTAGAAATATGAACAGTCCATACTCGTGTAAGGACAAACATATTCGACTTTCAAAAAAAAAGTACAGTCTATATCATTTCACTATACTTTAACATTATTTATTTTTCTTTCTTTTTCTAATCAACAAGTTACATGAGAAAAAAAAATATTATTACTGATGCTCAAAGGTAATTTTATGAAAAAGTTCATGATTCCATGATTTATTGAATATAAAAGTAATAGACATGAAATTCTGAATATTACAAAAATTTCTTATGCATATATAAGATATTATTTGTTTTCATCCTAAGGTATAAGATGTAGAAGTCATTTTCCGCTGGAAAATTTGAGAAATATTCAAGAATTTGGAAGTAGAAATTCAAAGATCAGACTTCATAGTAGAATTTTTGCTATTTCAAGTCTTATAACCAATCAAATTCGATCAGTGAATTTCTACTTTCAAGATATGTAACCTACTAAGTTCTATGCAGATAAAACGAAAAGGAAAAATAAATAGCGTTGAAATAGATGTAATATGGTCACTTGATATAAACTTTATACACATTGAAACCTGAATATATCAAGTTTCGCATACTTGAGGCAGATCTTATTGTAAAATTTTTTAGTTTGATAGTAAGAACATTCATTTCATTCGAATATGATCAATCTCTTTAGCTTCAATGTCACGACGTTACATCGTTAGATTTCCGTGTGTCAATAAGGTAAATCTATAGATTTAGAGAAATACAGATATTTTAGAGCATAGATACAGCTCAGTGTAGGACTTTGATATTATTAAAAAAAATATTTTCCTTTCTTGTTGTTTGGTGAAAGTAGTTTTTTTTCTAAAGAAAGATGCGTCATAATAGAAAAAGACGTAATTGAAGTTATACTTTCAGTTAAACTCTATCTCATTTTATTTAAATCTCCACTGCAGCTACGTAATAATCCGTAATCTTAGTTGGACAAATTGCAGAAATATTGAATTAAAAAAAAGCTCGATATTTAGTTTTCAGTGACATTTGTTTGTAGAACAAAGAAATTTCATTATTTTCTTAGAATGATTTCCGACGTGTTGAATCCTTCGTGATGCAGAGTTTTTTCTTTCGATTTTTCCCTGATGGGGATGTTCTTTTGTATGGAAACTTTCATAAGTTTGATTATATAGTCGTCTGGGGTAATTCGGATAAGTGTTCAAAAAAATCGTTGTACTTCAGCTATAACTCAACTATTTTACATGTGACAAAAAAAATTTCTCTGCTAACATATAGCTCAGAGTGTTTTCTATCGAACCATGTAAAAATATTTTAAAAAAATGGTGAGAGTTTTAAAAAAATGATCCGAATTACACCAGATGGGGTAATTCGAATCACTCCAGCGAAATCAATAGAACCAAACTTTCCCATCCTCCTGCTAATTAATAGTTAATTAAAATTAAATAAAAAATATACCATTTGAAAGTCAAAAGTGTTTTCTATGGAACCTGAAAAGATCTCGTCGATTCATTGAACCGTTAAAATGAAATTCTCATCACAATGAGACCTACCGAAGAAAATTTTTTTTTTCTTTTCTTTTTCGTGTAATTCGAATCATCCAGCAATTTTAGCAGTAGAGAACTTGCAAAACCTCTAGCACTTTTCAAGTTGGTTTTCATAAGTTGAGTCTGACACAAAAAATGTTCGTCTCATTTTACTCAATCTACCCATGTAAAATGAGAAAACACAAAAAAAAGGAACATTTTTTTCAATTCACTCTTCTCATCTTTAAATTGATACTGCATTTTTATAAGACGTCTCACGAAAAAAAAAAGAGTTTGACTTATCTGATACAAAAATGTGGCGACTACAAAGCTATGAATAAATAAAAATCATATGATCAATTCTTGAGAAACTAAATGGCTATTAATCGAAATTGAGTTACATTTCCATATCTCTCAATTTTGTATTTCTTCAATTTTTGAAGCACAAAACGAGAGTTAATTAAAAAAAATATTAACAACCTGCCAAAATAATAAAGAAAATATTGAGATTTCCTAAACACAATCATAAATGTGTTATCAGTCTGCAAGAGTCCGAGTGTGTTTTTCTGAATAATATTTAAGAAACAAAAAGTTTGTCAGCACATCTGCTTTCAGGCTGAAATGTGGAAATCATGTACGTTGTCTCGCCTTGTGAAATTAATATGAAATATGTGAAGCAAAAAATCTCTTGTAGACTATAATTCTTTTTCAGGTTAATCGATCACTCGAGTAAGGAACTTTTTCATTTGAGTTTTTTGAATAGAAGCTTTTTCTTCTGTGAATGCTCTATTTTCTGTTCGCATTCATACCATTTGCTCATTCCTTTTTATTTGTTTCTATTCGTTTTTTCCAGATTTTACATTCTTATTTTAGAATCATTGAATTAATAGGTAAATAAGTCTGTTTCACAACTTCATGATATATATATATAGCAGATCTTGCGCATTGTTACGCATTAATCAACTCTCAAACAATGATATTCCTTATTGTTCGAAATAGTAACTTGATCAATTTTTCAAAAGAACTCTAGAAAATTGAACACATGTTATTGTTAATTTGCTTCAGTCTGTAATAAGGAGAGAGATGTCTGTAATGGAGACCTGCTTTCCTAAGTGCCTATAAAACGAAGGAGGTGGGAACCGCAAACCTTCCACTTGAAACTTCCACTCGGTATTTTCCTCGAAAATATACCTGCACTCCACGAAAAATAATCAACCTACAAACGAAGCAATCTAAATAGTCGGGGTATGCATTCGATTTTGAACCGCAAGAAGATAATCATTCATACTACCAAGCTGAAGTACTCTTAATATTTTTTAAATTCACCCTCGTTATTATGTAATAATTTGGCTTTGCGCTTCAAAAATTGAAGAAATACAAAATTGAGAGATATGGAAATGTAACTCAATTTCGATTAATAGCCATTTAGTTTCTCAAGAATTGATCATACGATTTTTATTTATTCATAGCTTTGTAGTCGCCACATTTTTGTATCAGATAAGTCAAACTCTTTTTTTTCGTAAGACGTCTTATACAAATACAGTATCAATTTGAAGATGAGAAGAGTGAGTTGAAAAAAATGTTCTTTTTTTTGTGTTTTCTCATTTTACATGGGTAGATTGAGTAAAATGAGACGAACATTTTTTGTGTCAGACTCAACTTATCAAAACCAACTCGAAAAGTGCTAGAGGTTTTGCAAGTTCTCTCCAGCTAAAATTACTGGATGATTCGAATTACACGAAAAAGAAAAGAAAAAAAAAAATTTTTCTTCAGTAGGTCTCATTGTGATGAGAATTTCATTTCAACGGTTCAATGAATTGACGAGATCTTTTCAGGTCCCATAGAAAACACTTTTGACTTTCGAATGGTATATTTTTTATTTAATTTTAATTTAATTATTAATAGGAAGATAGGAAAGTTAGGTTCTCTTGATTTCGCTGGGGTGATTCGAATTATCCCAGACGACTACAGTACAGAGCATTGAGATTAATTAATAATTAGTGTTAGACAGCCGTGTGGATCTAAAGATTTTTCATACAAAAATAAATAAGACTGCATTATTAAAGAGAACCGTTTCATTATACAAAGTTTGCAATATGAATTGAGTTTTCAAATTTAAGTGAAAACTTTTTACGTAATATGTTGATATAGACAAGGCATGCTTTTATTGAAAAAGAAAGAACAATGTATATAAACAAGCGTCAAATCACTACTTCCCGATATTATTACAAAGTTGGAATAAGAAGAAATCTCAATTGGTAACTTTTTTACCTCTGGAACCCTGATAAGAGTAATAAAACAAAATCGACATTCACTTGTAACTATACAGCTGATTATGCTATCGATACAATAAACATTCTTTATATCAATGATACAACTCAACATATGTATTGACAAAAAGAGTACAAAGCAACAATAGTTGACTCGACAGCTCGAAATACTATATCAAACTAGAAAATTCTACTAGCTATGTGAAAAGACAAAGAGAGATGAAAACAGCTACATATATATGTGTAGTTTTTGCAAACATAATTATCTTAGAATCGACTAATAGAAACCAATTTTTTTCTTGATGGAAGCACTAATACTAGTCGAACTAATTGAATTTTAATGAAAGAACATAGATGCAATTTACAAAAGAACAAACCAAAGTGAACACAAACTTCTATACTAGTGAGTTTTATTACTAATGCTTGTCAATTAATGAACAGATCGCTGTTGAGTCGAATAAATATTTTTTAATTTGGTTTCACTCGTTAGCTGCAGCCTTTCATACAAGTATACTGAATCCATGAATGATGCTCCCCGGACACTTGCTCCCGCGACAATTGCTCCCCGGACAATTGCTCTCCAGCGACAATTGCTCCCGCGACATTTGCTCTCGTGACATTTGCTCCTCAATGACAGTTGCTCCCCAAGGACAATTGCTCCCCGGACACTTGCTCTTCTATGACAATTGCTCCCTGGATACTTGCTTCCTGATGACATTTGTTCCCCGAACACATGCTTTCCAATCACATTTGCTCCCCAATTTCACTTGGCCTTAAGCTACGATTTTTTTGTTGACAAATTCAATATAATTTTTAAAGACTTAAAAATTGGTAAAATTATGAAAAGAATGAGATGATTAGAAATTCGTGCAGAATTTAAGATTCTTGAAAATTCATCAATTAATTTTAAATATATAGCTAATTTTACTGCAGTTTTATCAGAATTTCGAAAGGTGGTAGTATGGATCTATGAATATATGAAGAACATAGAACAAATAAAATAGGAAAAGGGTGTGGGTGGGTGTAAATATAGATCTTTCCTTTATTCACATCCACACCCACACCCTCCGGGTTGGGTCCGGGTCCAACATTTTTAAACAAGCGGGTCCGGGTTCAACATTTTTTAAACAAGCGCGTCCAGTTCCGGGTACAGGTGTAGCAAATGGTAAACGGGTCCGAGTCTGGGTCCAAAAATCTTGGGCCCGAAGGGTTCTAACCCACGCTCACACCCACCTCATACTCATATCCACATCCCACACCCACGCCCCAGCCACACCCACACCCACGCCCTAGACACACCCACGCCCTAGACACACCCACACCCATGCCCTAGCCACACCCATATCCACGCCCATTATGTTGAATTTGTCAACAAAAAAGCCGTAGTTTAAGGCCAAGTGAAGTGGGGGAGCAAATGTGATTGGAAAGCATGTGTTCGGGGAACAAATATCATAGGAGAGCAAATGTCATCAGGGAGCAAGTATTCAGGGAGCAATTGCCATAGGAGAGCAAATGTCCGGGGAGCAATTGTCCTTGGGGAGCAAATGTCACGAGAGCAAATGTCGCGGGAGCAATTGTCGCTGGAGTGCAATTGTCCGGGGAGCAATTGTCGCGGGAGTAAGTGTCCGGGGAGCATCATTCGTGTTACCAAGTATACTGTACACAAATACCATGCAGTTTGGTTTAGTCAGGATACCATAATGATCCATTTTTAATGCATGATTTTCCCATTTCGACGAGATGTTCGATTGTAGCTCGATTGCTGTGATAGTAATCTAAATTTTTTCTTGCAATATGTGCACGTGCTAACTCAAATAAATCATAATCTGCTATTTTTATTCCTTGAAAATTTGGCGGAAAATCCCATTGTCCACGATATCGGAAGCCTCGAAATACCTTCATATTCCATGACCAAGCAGAGTGCAATATATTACCACCGAAACGTTCAGGCCAATTATTTACTTTGTCTTGTGGAACTAGAGTAGATGGATATGGGTTTCCACCATTATTACAAAAGTATCCTTTAGTCCATGCAAAAACAACCGATGGAAAACGCATGAAGATTGAAAGTAGTTCATTTAGATGTTCGCTAGACCAGACATCGTCATCATCGTGATTCGTAAAATATATTTTACAATTTAATTCACAATTATTGTAATGCTGTTCAGCACGCTGTAATGCATTATTCATAGCTTTAACACCACCACTTTGCCATAATGCATAGCCAGTTAGACTACCTCGTTCTCCAGGTTCCGGTAGATTGTGTAGAAATAACTTTGATGACGGTATGCTTGTGAATAGGGAGCGAAATTCTGTTTCGTTTTCATATTTGTCGCCAGTAACAAACAGTTGCCAGTTGGTATATGATTGAGAAAGTATTGATTGGACTGCTTTCTTTATGTAGTACGGTGATCGACCATTTTTTCGCGTATAAGACGACATAATAATAATAAATAAATGATCACTATTAGTCTTTGAAGTTGTGGCATTACTGAGATCAACAGGTATCGACGTATGGAAAGACTTCATATAAATTACAATCAGCAGGACTATGATGCAAAGGATGAGTCTCTTGACAATGGAATTGTATTTTAACATAGTAGATTGTACACGAAGTTTGTTTATAAAGATGATTGTAAAATTAACTGTTCGTAGATGTAATTGCGTAAAAATTTAATAATCTTGATGACGACGATGTAATTATGCAGCTAGATCACAGCTATTCATGCTATAATCTATATATAATGTTCAGTGTCTGTATGTGTGTGTGTGTGTGTGTTTGTGCCGAGTCAAACTTAAAAGTCAAAAAAGACTATATGGGGTAAGGCTATAAAGGGTAACATTGTAAAGGGGAAAGGCTATAAAGAAGTAAGACAATAAGGGGTAACGCTGTAAAGGAGTAAGGCTATGAAGGAGTAAGGTTATAAGGGGAAAGCTATAAGGGTAAGCCTACAAGAAATATAAGACAATAAGACCATAAGACTACATGGGCTATCAGCAATGTAAGGATACCAGACTATAGGGCTTCTATGTACATAATGTCAAGTGTCTGTGTAACTGCTACCGAGTGAAAAGTTAAACGTTTGAGGTCGTACGTTAAGGAAAAAAGCCTGCCATGCAGTATGCACGGGTTTTCGCTCGTAATAAGATAAACCATGGAACTGGTATTCGTTTATATGGTACGCAAAATGTAGAAAGAAAACATCGACTATGAATGTATGTATAATTTTTCAGGTATATTGAATATTATATGTATCGCATAATCTATTGTCCTGTGATGTTCTTGGATTTGCCAATAGGATTGCTCAGTTTTTGCTATTCTTTCTTAAGTCTCTTTTGTCAGAATTTCTTTTTAATTTTAGTTTCATGAGAAGTAAATAATCTCTGACCAAAAGCGGCAAGTAACTACTGATTGATTGATTCTTTCTTTTATCTAATGAAATACTTTTTGAAAAACTGTCATCGAAGAATAATTGGTCGAAAATTATTTAGTTGATAGTTATAAAAATGATAGCATTTACTAGTTATTATTTTACATTTGTCCTAAGTGTTCTACAAAACAGCATATCCCATGATAGAATTGAAAAAGAATAACAACATTGTTATATAGTTAGTCGATCACTCTTAATATAGTTGTATTGTGGAGATTAATTGTGCTAGTGACTCGTGGTCACTGTTAAGTAAATAAAATTTAAGAGTAACTCTCTCGAAATTCTACCACAATATGCAATAGTATCTTCAAATCACATGAAGGTTGGCAGATTTACAGAATACTTTGTGCTATTCATTTTGGCTATAAAAAGTTTAAGGCTTCTATTTAAAATAGTGAACTATTAAATACATCCTTTCATTAGAAAATCACATCTTTTATGAATAATACAATTAAATAACAAGATTTATTCTTAGTTTTATTTCCTTTATTATTTCATGCATGATGATATTCCACACATGAAATCTTGTGAACTAGGTAAAATTGCAACGTTTTCTCGGACGAAATATGTGATAACTCAGCACTGAAAATACTTAGAATTCTGCAGTTTCATGCTATTAAGGCTTCTAAAGAGCAAAATTTGCTCTATCTAATTCCATAATTAATCTTCTATGGAAGTAAGATTCTGTTATGAGAAGACAATCGACAAGAAAAACTACTATTTTTCCTTGGAAGAGAAAAGTGTTTCTTTTTTATTTCATATAATTGTGTAGATCGTTCAACAATTTAAATAAATTTTAGAATGTGTATCTTTACTATGGGAAAAAGCAATAATAAGCTCTCGAAATACATCATGCTAAAACTCGTTGACTCAATTTTTCTATATAGTTTTAAAATCTAACATTAACATAACCTGCTTTTTCCATTACGAATTCAAATAAAGTAATACTCTCATCAGTTATTTACTGGGACATGTTTTCAATATCGCATCGGTCTAAGACGAAAATCTTCATTACTTAAAGTAAGAGCGTTCAATTTTCAGCAGCAGCACTTCATGTTTCAATGAATTACAGTGTAGCTCAATTAAATTTTTTCGTATTTCTTACTTTGCACTGCTAGTTTTCGTTTATAATAAATAGTGTTTAGTGAGAAAGTACATACTTAACTGCACATCAAAAAAAAGATCACATTTTTTTTTGCACTATACTCGACAATAAGAATGAATCAGATTTTTCTCTTTCCGTATTTGTTTTTTTTTCATATCGATGGACAAAAATAGGTTATCAATAGAAATTGTGAAAAAGAATTTGTCTTGAACTCGGTGCATATTTTGTTATATCGTAGATCAAGATTCAAACAGATATAAAAGTTATTCTTTGTCAATATAACTATCTTTTCCTTCCATCTATTCGTTTGCCTAAATCTACAGTACATTAAAGGAATATCACAGATCCTTAGACATGTACCAAGTTTTTTTTGCATTATTTTCGAGCAATTTTGTATCAAAATCTGGAATTGTGAAGTAAAAAATCTGATCATGTTATGTAGCTTATCAAAGGATATAAAAAATTGCTACTCTATCAAATGAGACATGCACGATCTGCATACAATGAACTTACCATGTCTTTTTATGCGAATTCTACAAATTGAATCTGATTGAAACCTGGTTCGGTCGAGATATTATCTGATAATGCAAGTAAAACTTAGAATAACTGATTGCATCAAAAAGCTCGAAAACGTCTAATTTTCTACGGTAATGTTTGACCCATTGTTTGATAAGTTTAGTCCCATTATGCAGTATTTTGTTCTCGAGCTCAAGTTATTAATATAAAGTGCTTGAAAGTGACCGAAAAAACTGAAACTCGGTACATGCTTACATATGTTAAATATTTATCATCATTAGACTATCTATTTGTGGTACTCATTCAAGAAAGCCGTTCAAAACCATTATTCAATCATCAGAACAAAACGTCCTTCAATACTTATAGAAACATTGAGTTCATTATCGAGAAAGGAAATCAGCAATCTATATTGTGAATGTTCTGTTGTCTATACAACTCATTTATATTATGACTGACCCTCCATATAAGTATGGACTTTCTTTCTTATAATCCAAAAATCGAAAAGAAAAAGATTCATTACTTTAAACAATTTTCTAAATACGATGGAAAATATTTTAGATATGCGCTCGTTTGAAACAGCAAACACTTCTGAGTGAAATAAAGTATCTCCTGATTCTCTATAGCATTTCACTATTAATTTATGCCAGTTTTCTGAAAGTCACCGAAATTTAAAGCATAGCAAAGTTCAAAAAAAAACATAGAAAACAAAATAACCATAGGACACTTCTTCGATTTGATGCAGTGTGATGAAAAAAGTCACAGAGAGCTCGAAGATTTCTTATTTTATTCAAAAATATTTGATCTTAAATATCTTTTATGATTCATCCTAGTCTATACGATTAAAAAACTAACTTAAAAAAATAAACAAATGATCTAAAGATGTATCCTCACCAAACTATCTTTTTGTCCTAATGCATTTTTTATTAGTTTATTTCTATAAAGACTATATGTTCTTTCTGTATGGTAGAAAGCAACTATAATATTCTGAAGCAAGACATATATAAAGGAAAAAATTCAATTGATGTATAGTGTACATATGAAAATGAAATTTTACTTGCGACAAAAGGTTCTGCTCTGTAAATGAATGGGTTAATTATATTCGGATCAAGTGAATGTTCTCACTAGTAAAGTAATTAATTTGAAATATGAGCAGTCCAAACTCGTGTAAGGACGAAGATATCCAATTTTCAAAAGAAAACTACAATCTATATCATATCACTATACTGTAGTTTAACATTATCTATTTTTCTTTTTTTTCTACTCAACAAGTTACATGAGAAAAAAAATATTATTACTGATGTTCAAAAGTAATTTTATGAAAAAGTTCACGATTTCATGATTTATTGAATATAAAAGTAATAGACATGAAATTCTGAGTATTACAAAAATTTCTTATGCATATATAAGATATTATTTGTTTTCATCCTAAGGTATAAGATGTAGAAGTCATTTTCCGCTGGAAAATTTGAGAAATATTCAAGAATTTGGAAGTAGAAATTCAATGATCAGATTTCATAGTAGAATTTTTGCTCTTTCGAGTCTTATAACCAATCAAATTTGATCAGTGAATTCCTACTTTCAAGATATGTAACTTACTAAGTTCTATGCAGATAAAACGAAAAGGAAAAATAAATAGCGTTGAAATAGGTGTAATATGGTCATTTGATATAAATTTTATACACATTGAAACTTGAATATATCGAGTTTTGCATACTTGAGGCAGATCTTATTGTAAAATTTATTAGTTTGCTAGTAAGAACATTCATTTCATTCGAATATGATCAAATTCTTTAACTGACAGCTCACGATCTTTCATTATGAGTATATAGGTATAAAATACGTCGATATAAGTTTATAGGTAGAAGTACATAAGTATGAGTACAGTATAAAGATATTGAAACAAACCTATGATACAAAAATTACGATAATAATAGTAAGGGTGTAGGGATAGATTCTTATACATACTGATATATCTATACACGATAAACCATACAGATTGTGGGTATAAGGCAAACAAAGCAAGTACCGAGTGATGATGAACAGCTCGAATGTGTTAAGAAGAATAAAAAATTAAAATAACACTGATTATTTTTCATATATATCGATATTAAGACGCCATCAGATTTTAAATTGTTGTTATTTTTTATTGTGCTTACGCTGGAATTCTTACCGCTTTTATATTCGAAGATCATTTAGATTGTGTTGACGAACTTTTTAAATGATAAGAAAATACTTTTGTTATATCGTCATTGTCGATTATGGAAAGAAAAAAAAAACTTTCGAATTCTCAAGTAATTAATATTTCGATTCGCCTATTTCGTCTTTCGTCCAATGATTTGCTTGTATTAACCAAGCTACTTTTCCTAAATCGCTCTATCCAACAATAAACT